TTTTGGTCGTCGTTTTATAGTTCAGAAAATTTCATGATTTAAGTTTTCGCAACGCTCACTTTTTGATTACTATACATGCATATATAATGCAAGTGCAAGTGTGGATTATCAATCAAAAATTGAATGCGTTTGCAAGATAAGCAAAATAAGAACCTTTAGGATGACGTCGAAGAGAATGCCAAATGAATACACGATACCATCTGCAAAAACGTGAACAAAGAACGATCCCACCACAACCACCCAACCCCATCCTCCGTCCACCAACGGTACGTATCGTTTGCCATCTTCCCTTTCATTCTTCTCTGACTTCGACTTGGCCATCTCCTTTAAAAGCCGACAACTTACTTCGTCACGATCAACACGTCTCCAAAGGATTATCGCCTTATTGCAGCAAAACAATCATATTACAGCAATTCTCCTGTTACGATAGGACGTTAGAAAATTGAGTTGATAGGACGCTGAAGTGTTACATTCGAAATGTTATTACAATATGTACTCAAATTTGTAAAAGTTCGGTAATCCACGAAAGAGACATTCGAAAACAATACTAAACACGCAATGAAACCACTTCAATTCAATTTTGAGTTATGAGAAATGAACATTTGTATAAACAGAGCAATCAACGACGATAAACCGAGCAAACAATTGAGTATCGCAAGTATCGATAATTTTTTTTGCAGTCGTCGAATACTAATGATGCATTGGCTATCATTGAATGAAATTTACGATAAACCCAAATGATGTTTACTTTTGGGAGTATGTGAGGTTGTTGTGAAGTGATATGATGTTTTGTCAAGCACAATCGCTGTTCACTGTCATTTATGGAAGTATAGAGGATGTGTCCGGACGAACACTTCTCACCCCGTTGTAACGCTAATATCAAATCGCTCAAACAGAGTGTTTATATAACCGCAAAGTATTTCATGCATCAGCAACAACAGATACTTCAATCAATACAATTATCTTCATCATCAGCCCATTTTCGAACATTTTGGAAACATTTCGTTGCGATTCAGTCTGCATTGTTTCAATCGCGACAAACTTCACAAACACTTTCTTTGAGCAGTTCAATATTAGCGTTACAACGGCCTGATAAATGTCATACTTCTCGTGCTGACATACTCTGTGCAAATGATAGTGAACAGCGATTGTGAATGACAAAACATCATCATATCAAGACAACCTCACATTATAAGCATAATAAATATCGCAACCACACTCACAACAACCTCCCAAAGATAAACATTATTTGGCTTTTCCATAAACACAAACGTTACACCTCTAAATAACTCCATGCAACAATGTAAATCACAAGTGTAAATGACTCGAGATTCGTTGTACATGCTTGCCGTGCATTGCAACAACGCATTACACGATATGTCATTCCTTCGCTTAAATATCGAACCAAGCAGAATCGACGTTGTAATAATTTGGAAACAATTAATTGGTGTTTCGCAAAGTTCTTTCATAAGCAATATTATACCGTGTATAAAACACCCATAAACCTGTATTTAACATCACGAATTTCATTGCAGCACGCTTCAGTTAGCGAATAAAATGAATCTGACAGAATGTGAACTGAAAAAGCACAAAGTTACAATTGTACATTCAATGCTATAGTTTAAGCATGAAAAGTGACAGTGACAAATGCGCTTTTAGAAATTTTATTCTGCGGCAAAGAACAAGATGAGAACATTGGTGAGAAAAGTCGGACTGAATAGGAATATAGGAAACTAAAGATCGCATAGAAGAACAATGATTGGCATTCAGCGCATGTAAAGCACAATAAAAAATTGAGTATCAGAAAAAAGTTTGATGATGAGAAGGAAAGTTGAAGGGATGCGACAAAATGGTGGCATACACAAATGGAGTAATACCACTTGAAATATCAAGATAAAGGCTGTAATGCCATTTTACAGGTGAATCAAATGAAAGAGAGAAAGGCACTTATGGACAACTACGATCTAGTAAAAGATAACCCATTAGTTGATCTATTCATTTCGTTGAACTGAAATTTTACCTCTATGATATACTAACCGGCTACAACACTTCACTTCAATGGTAATGGAACTGTGTTTGAAAAGCGGTGAATTATAATGAGGATGGCCCGTGAATAAACACAATATACAATCATTGTATTATACTATACGTCGAATACTTTGTGTTCGAATCACAGAACTTGTTTCCAGGTGCTGATGAACAATTGGATGGAATTATCTGGATGGTCAATCGCTGAAGTGCACGTCAATTGTGTTCATCACTTTAACGTGCCACTCACTCCACTCAGCAGCCTCTTAATGCAAATAAGTTACGAGCTGTCGTCCTCTATCATGCACATACCCCAAAATGTTCAGTAAGCCAGCCATCCCTTCAACTATAAAATAAGTAGTTTTTGAAAATTTCGCCATTACATTTCATCACTTTTTTCCGTCACATAAAAACTTTCCTCAGAACCATTGAAACATCAGACTGACAATGTACATTTTCNTCGCCTTCTGCGCGTACAATTCCACACGAAGTAACCATTTCATTACTTACATACTTATATATTCACTGTCATCGCATATGATATATATGAAAGTAATACTGCCACACACTCTTACGCATAGATAAGAGTGCATCAAAGCTATATTGGTAGTAACACACACCAACGACAATAATCACATCTGAGAAAAAATAAGTCCTGACTGGAAATTTTGACGACTCTCATTCAAGCAGCATGGTAGTGACAACATTACAAGATTATACTGATAACAACATAACATTTCTCCACAAAATATTCTCCAACGATACCATCCAAATGAAAAAATAATATTATCATTGTTAAAAACATTCAGTTTCTTTGTGGACTAAACGAATCACGAGTCGATCGACTGAACCTAGTGAACCGAATCCGCAAGTCTGTTTAATTAATAGATAAGGTTCAGCTCAAATATTTGATGTCGGAAGCAACTTCAACATTCGAACTCAAACGTTTCATTCATTCAAAAGATAATAACCTCAACGTTGTTGAACTGAACAAAATCGTTTAGAACATTACACATGCAAAGAAACTTGTCATATTTCACCACAAAAGTGTACACTGAATATAATACGATTATAGCAATTGGCTGTCACACGAATCATCAATTGATGCCAATCACTTGGATGCGTCAATTGCGGATCTTCGAAAATACTGACCACTGAGAAAGAAGCAAGTGAGAAATAAGGAATGAATTCGAATTTTTATGTCCGTGAAATTAATTTGATAAGAAGGCAAAGAAAGAGATGATAATTGAATTACAATGAGATCAACGTAATAACCTTTGCTTTGTTGAAAAAAAAAGCCTTAACGTTTGTTCGTCGCACTTGAAAAATAGTAATTATCTTCGCTAAGTAAATAAAGTTTTTCTTTTTTTTTTTGAGAAATTATGATAAGATATGTATGTGTGTCTTTGCTGATAGAGACATCCTAGGAATGTTAGAGTGAGCTTGAGAATATTACTTCAAATTTTAAAAAATCAGCCAAAAAAACTCGCACTGTTAGAAAAGTGAAATTTGATGCAGCAACCGACGACAGCATCAATAACAAATTCAACGAAACGGAATGAGGAGCGAGCGTTCAATGGGTATTGAATAATAATGCATTTTTTGTCATCATTCATAATAACTGAACGAATACATTCAGTTATACAAAGGACGTACTTCGATATAGTCGATTTTCAAGTGCTATAATCAGATAACTCCACCACTGAACAAAAAGCAGCTAGGTGTTTTCACATAGCATTCACATCTTTGCTGATTATGTAATAATTCCTAAAAGACTAATTTCTACACGAAATATTCACGAATCAATGTAAAATAGGCGTACGATTCTTTACTATCACCAAATCAGTAGATGTTCCACTAGAGTAAGACGATGTGATGAATCAAGCGACCTGATTACTGATTGTTCAAGCATTCTCAAACAGACTTCTGATGCGGGACGGCCACTAAAGAGTGTCACTTTTCATCACTCAGATGCAATATTT